GTAACGAGTCCTATTTCATTTCCTGTGAGCCTCTTCTCTTGAAGCACCACTTTTTTCACCACTGGTGCAATTGTCAATTGTCAGTCAGTGGCACAACATCAACAGACTGCAAAAAAATTGATGAGCAGCTCGCCTGATATTTGACCATAAAAGGCAGGCGCTGGCGATTACTGCGACTGTCCTTGATTGCCTGGTGAGCCGGTGTACATCTTTTGACCAAATTAGGTAAAGTGGAAAAACTGAAAGTAAAAGTAATGTTGTGATGGTGGTGCACCCCTTTCTGAGGTAATACATAATTACTTGTACTAAGGTGGTGATATAAGACACAGCCAAAGTGACTTAATCAGCGCCTGCATTCAAACTTCTCAACTGAGCGCCTCTCAAACTGGTGCGTTGGCGGGCAAAATCTTGCAAGAGTCCACTGCAACTGCAGAGGCGGAGGAGGTAGTTTCTCGAATGTTGGAGAAGGAGGTAGTGGTAGTGAATCAAATCGGTATATAAAGGTAGGCAAAAGTGCTCATCAGCTCTATTCACAGTCTTTGAAACTTTGAAGAAATTTGCCTTTGTGTAAGAGTTACATCAACTGCCCAACAAAATGCTCTCCTCTCCTCGATACACTCGTTCGCTCTTTGACTCCATTGACGACGACTTTCACCGGTCGCTGGAGCCCAGTCGCAGTCACCTGCGAAGAGTCTTCAACAGCAGCCTTGATGACGACTTTAACACTCGTCACNTCTCGATACACTCGTTCGCTCTTTGACTCCATTGACGACGACTTTCACCGGTCGCTGGAGCCCAGTCGCAGCCACCTGCGAAGAGTCTTCAACAGCAGCCTTGATGACGACTTTAACACTCGTCACCACAACATCACCACCTCCTACGAGCAGAAGCCGGCCATTCGCGACGACAAGTTCACCCTCTCGCTCGACTTTCACCAGTTCGAGCCGTCGGACATCAGCGTGAAGGTGGAGGACGGCGACACGCTGCTGGTGAAGGCGAAGCGCGAGAAGAAGGAGGGCGGCATGGTCGAGAGTCGAGAGTTCAGTCAGCGGTACTCGCTGCCGAAGGGCGTCATCGGTGATCGGCTGACGGCCAAGTTGGACGGCGCCGGGTACCTCCAGGTGGAGGCGCCGGTGAAGAAGGAAGAGCCAAAGGAGTACCGACCATCCTACTGCGGAAGTTCCTATCGATACGGTGGGCGTACCATTCCGGTGCAGGTCGTCTACCGATCGCCCTCGTACAAGTTTTAGATGATGATTTCCGGTTGGCCACTGGTTGGCTAATCTGAACTTTTTTCCCTTTGTTTACAATTCTGTTTTTTAAATAAACGCTGTTCTAAATTGATCTTTTTGGGTTTGAAAATGAGGTGTTGTTGAACTTCACTTTACCACTTTGTCACACGTAATCATGGTCGAAGAGTACGGCGGTCGTCACTGTACAATTTGCAAACAACTCACCTTTCTGCCGTTGATTTGCACCGCCTGTGGCCTGCCATTCTGCGAGCTGCACAGTTCAGCAGAGGCACATGGCTGCATTGCAAAGCATCAAGTTTGTAAAACAAATGTTGACGCTTCGTCAGCAGCCGACACTTTATCTGCTTCAGATCAACGATGCATTCAGTGTGGACAGTCGAGTTTGCTGGCTCGCTCGGTGCCACTGCATTGCACTTTCTGTCAGAAGGTAAGGTTTTCTAGATTCTGTATTCAAATTAATCTTTGATCTCTTGAAACTTTAGCCCGTCTGCATCGCCCACCGTCACCGATTCGACCACGCCTGCCCTAAAGCGGAGACGATTCTTGCAGCGGAACGAAATGCCAGAAGCGAAAAGTTGGGGGATGACAGTTCGGATGATTACTCTGAGACAACGCCGATTGGTGCTGCTAGTCGTAGTGGAAGTTGCACATGGCTTCGAAGACTGATGCAGTGGTTCTGTTTAGTCTAAGACCGTTGTTTGGTCCGTTTACCACGACCAGAGGTACCCCAGAAAAATAAATGATCTCACCTTTTCGAAAAATCGTCGAAGCGCCGCTGTTGCCATCTGTCACTTTTCAACGGCAAAATCGCCGCCAGTGTTTTTATTTCAGGCACCAGCGGACGGACAGACAGCCTGCAGTGGAGCACAGCACGCACACTCACGAGAGAGAAAGAGAACGAGAGTGGCTCACTATTTTTGCGCCAAGAGACCAAGGAGTGCATTCGTTAATCCATTCAGTCATTC